ATTTATATGAAGCGTAATATGTGTGGGTGTGTGGATGTGTGGGTGTGCAGGTGTATTTCAATATATGTACATCTAGGTGTGTGGGAAGGGTGGAAAGGGCTACGGAATGAAGGGGGGGGGAGGGTGGTATTAAAGTTTGGGGTAGGTAATAGGTTAATCACAACAATAATGAACTGTGTAAACGTTGGATGACCGGCGTCTGGGGAAAAATGGCCTATATTCTTCGCCGTCACATCCAAAGACGCGAGTTCGACTAGAAACATCATCTCCGTAAAAAAAAGTCTTAACTTTAACCAAAAGTCACACATGAAACTTTGACTTGTTAATTAGATTTAAAGTGACATTTTATAATTGAATGAAATACAGAAGGTTTAGCTTGTCCAGTTTTTTTTATAAAAAGGAGTTTTCTGGGTGACATCTCATCTCTGCTCAATATTATCATTGGGATGTAATCATAATTATCACAATCAGCAGTAGCAGCAGCATCATCATCATCTTGTTGGAAATAGTACTACTGCTTTTGAGGTAAAGACAGGAGTTGGACAAGAATGCAACATGTCAGCAATTCTGATCAACCTTGCCTTTGACTGGGTCATGAGGAAAACAACAGAGGATATACCAAGAGGCATAAGGTGAACCCTCTTCTTCACCCTCGAGGATCTTGATTGTGCCGACGACCTCGCACTCCTCTCCCGTACCCACCAGCACATGCAGGAAAAAACAAACAGACTCCTCAAATACGGACGCCAGATTGGGTTAAGAACAAGCCAAAAGAAGACAAAAGTGATGACACTTAATGTAGGCTCACCAACGCTGATCAGGGTGAACAACGCAGACCTGCCTATAACAGACAGATTTACCTACCTAGGCCGCATAATTAAAACTGACGGCTGAACAAAGGAAGACATACTTTACTTGACTTTTCCTATCCAGCGGCCATTTGGATTCTAGCCAAAAATTTACAGGTTTTAATCAGCTGTGCTTTGTCGCTGTATAGAGTATTTCCGATGTGTGGGGAGGCAGGTAGGTAGGTGATACGCAGGTCGCAAACGGCAGTTAAAGAGGTGGTGTGGTACTGTTTCATCCTGGCAGTCGCACAACGGGCAGTCGGGTGGGGTATTCTTGCGGAACCTACTTGTATTAAGGTAGGAATTTAGCGGGATGTGTTGTGTTCGCAGGCGAAATGTCCTGACTTGTTCTCTTCTACTCAGGTAATTTAGTGCAGCTTTTGAGTTGGGGGCTGTCATGTGTGCGAATGCAGTTCTTCCAGTTTTGCACATTGCCCATCCATTCAGCCACTGTTCCCTGGTGTTGCATTTGATGATGTTCTTGGCTGTCTGTTGTGATACTGGGTTGTGAGGTTGTGTTTGTGATGCTCCCTTCTTGGCAAGGGTGTCTGCTCTGTTGTTTCCTGGGATGTTGCTGTGGCCAGGTATCCACTGTAGAGTCAGGTCGACGTCATAGGTTTGTATGAAGGTGTTGATTGTTTGAGCCACGGATAGGCAGGCTGGGCTTTTGAAATTCATGTTTTCCAAAGCTTGGAGTACTGACGTTCCGTCTGTGAAGATAATAGTGTCCTTGATTTTGTTCGGATGTATTATGAAAATGTTGGTCAGGTGGAGAATTGCTGCTTCAATGGCGATGGCCTCAGCCTCGTAATTTGTACAAGAAGTGCCACATGCATTGAATAGCTGTTCACATGTTTTGTCAGGATGTTCAATTCTTACCCCCAAAGCCTGCGTTTACAGTTCCCTTGAAGGCTGACCCATCTGTGTAAATATGAATTGAGTCACTAGGGTAAGAGTCAATTGTCTTCAGAGCTGTTGTCTTCAGTTCTACTGGATCACATTCCTTTTTCACTGTCTCTTTTATGAGGGAAGTTTTGATGTTGACGTTCTTGATGTTTGTGTTTGGAGGGAGTTCTGGCCTTAACGGTTTCAGCATTTCTCTGTTATATGAAAGATTGTGTTTTTCTGCTAGTTCAGTGGCTGTGTCAAGTATTGATCTTCCAAGAATCCGTTTCTTTGGTCGTCTCTGTTCAATTATTTTCCTGTTTGGGTATTTTTTCTCTAGTCTTTTGTAGCGCTCACTCATCTCCACAACTGCTACCTCTTTCTGCAAGTGCAAGGGTTCCAGGTTCGTATGGATTTCACAAGCTGCAGTTGGAATGGATCTCAAAGCTCCGGAGATAAATCGTACAGCTTGATCCTGGATGTTGTCCTGTAGGGTTAGGTTATATTCCTTGGCGGAGCGTACTTAGCCAACATATAGCTTTCTGAGTGCATCCTTGCCCGCTCCCCATGAAGTGCTAGCCAGTCGTCTGAGAAGGTTAAGTCTCTTGTTGGCCTTGGTCTTCAGGTTCCAGATGAAAACTGTCTGTCTAGCTCGATCCCAAGGTAGCTCGAGTTTTCAACTTTCTCTAGTTTGTTTCGTGCAAGTGAGATGGTGAGATTTTGCTAGTGCTTTGCAACTTTGTGGCTTTTTGTAAAGACGGTCTAGATTGTCTTGGCACAATTTGCTTTTAGTTTCCACTTGCAGCAGTAGTTGTTGAATCTATCTAGAACCTCATTTATAAGCTATGCACTGATGCCAGTTTGTTTACTTGTATGCCAGATGGCTAGGCTATAGGTCGTCGGCCTACAGGGCCTTCTCCGATTTCAGTATCTCAGGCAGGTCGTTGATGAAAATAAGGAAAAGTGTGCAGCTCAGAGAGGAACCCTGGGGTAGGCCCTCCTCCAGTACAGCTTTGGATGACACGCCATTGTTAATCCTGGTCTGGATTGTCCTGTCTGTAAGGAAGGTCTTCACCCATCTGTAGAGTTTCCCTGGATTCCTGTCTGTGTCATCTTACCCTGTCGTAACCTTGCTTGAGATCAACGAATACTGCAACTGTGTGCTTCTTTTCCTGGAAACCATCAAGGACTTTCTGACTAAGCCCGAAGAGCTGGTCATCTGTTCGTTGGACCGCACGAAATCCTGCTTGGTTGCTGTCCAGGGCACCGGTTGTTTCCAACCACTAGTATAGGCGGTGGTTGACCATTCTCTCTGCTAGTTTCTCGATGCATGAGGTGAATGAAATGGGTCGAAAGCTTTTAATTTCTTCAGCAGGTTTTCCTTTCTTGAGAATAGGTGTGATGATGGCGTTTCTCCATGCTCTGAGGATGGTGTTTTCATTCCACGTCTTGTTGATCAGCTGGAGAAGATAACCCTTTCCAACGCGACTGAGGTTAACAAGCATTTCATTGTGGATCTTATCTGGTCCTGGGGATTTGCCGGGCTTCGGTTTCTTCACTGCCCTGTTGAGCTCAGTGGGTGTGAAGTCATCTTCAAAGAGAGAGATACTTGCATTTGGCGCATGCTCTTTCTCCTTCAGTCTTTTCAGACAGTCTCTATGTTGGTCAGTGTGAGGTGTAGCTTTGTTTATAGAAGCAAAGAACTTGTTGAAGGTTTCTGCCGTTTTGGTCTTCTACGACGGTGCCTTCCTCTGTGTTCATGGGTTTTGGGTTGTTTTGGCGCTTTTCTCCACACCAGTTGGAGAGAAGGGACCATGGTTTGGCTCCGTTTCTACGTAGGTCAAGGCCTGCAACTGTGGTGCTCCATTTGTTTCTTTTGGCCAAGAGCGTTGTCTGTTTGACCTTAGCTGAGGCTTTTTTGTAGTTAATTTTGTTTCCTCTTGTAGGATTGTTTTCAAGAGTTTTTCGTCAATTTTCTCTGTCTTGGACTGCTTTTTCGATGTTCTCGTTCCAGAAGGGCTTGTACTTTTTCCTGCAACCCCTAGGGATGCAGAGAGCTGCAGCCTTGAGCTGAGAATCTGTTATTGCGCAAGAGAAGACATCATGAACAGACTCGGCAAGGCAAGATCTGTTCACAGAAGCATGATCAACATCTGGAAGTAAGGACAGTTTAGTATACAGACCAAGTTAAAGCTGTATAACAGTTGTGTGCTATCCACACTCCTATATGGAGCTGAATGCTGGAGCATGACTGATCATGACCGAGCCAAACTATCTTCCTTTCATACAACCAGTTTACGCCAAATCCTCCGAATCTTCTGGCCCGACAAGATTTCCAACGCAGATCGTTTACGAAAATGTAGGCAAGAGGCCCTGACCACCATAATAAAAAGGGGAAGATGGAGATAGAGTGGGCATGTTCTGAAAAGAGAACCAGACTCTATTGTGAACACTGCCCTCCACTGGACACCCGAAGGACATCGCAAGAGGGGCAGACGCAAAGTGACCTGGAGACGCACAGTAGAGTCTGAAATGAAGTTTTGGAACCATTCGTGGGGGGCCTTGACCAAGATGGCCCAAAAAATAGACAGAGCTGGAGATCCTTTGTTGCTGTCCTAAACGCCAGATGGCGTAACGGGTAGTAAGTAAGTAAGTACTTCCCGCACCACTGCAGGAACTAATAAAGTATTACGATGTAGCACAGAGCGGCAGCTCTTTCTTACCACACTGTAGGTCATACAATAATGCTCTCGCCCTTGCTTCGGTTGGGTGAAGTGAACAAGCTGAACAGGGCATCAGAATTCAGGGCAAGCTGTACCACAAACATTTTATCTTGGGATTTCCTATCACTATATAACCGTTCGTGGAATGGGTCTGTATCAAGTAATAATAATAATAATGATAGTAATAATAATAATAGAATAATAGGGTAATAATAATAGTAATAGATCTAATCATAATAATAATAATAATAATAATAATAATAATAATAATAATAATAATAATAACAATAATAGTAATAATAATAATAATAATAATGATAATAATAGTAATAATAATAATAATAATAATAATAATAATAATAATAATAATAATAATAATAATAATACCGGTAACAATAGTTAATTTATCATGAACTGACAATAAAATTGCTTTTAACATTAAATGAAGAACAGCAAATAACAATATAGACTTTCCAAGTTTCCGTTTGCATTATACTTACTATACTATAATATTATTTAAAAAATTATGTGACATCATACTTACATCTTAACGTATCGCCGTCCAAGAAATGAGGAAATTATCTTTTGGAAGCTTTTTATCCGTTTCCCCATTGTCTCTACACACGGGGTGCAGACATTTGGCACGGTCCTACTGTAAACTCGCCATAACAATCTCCTAGTTACCCAAAGCATTACCAGAATCGTTATCACCAACAGTGGGATGGCCTTGTCAAAATTCCACGCCAGAGCAAGGGTAAAATAACAAAAGAATAGCAATATTAACGAGATTTGTGCGGCTAGTTTGAATCTGGTTAGGATGAGAGTTTTTCTTTGCTGATTCTGTTCTTCTTGTTCTTCAACTTCACAATTGTCGCCGTTTCTATCGGAAACGGGCTCATGAGTTTCAGAATCTTCATAGACATTGGACCCACTGTGGTCTTTGGGCACAGATTTGTACGACCCACTTGCAAATGTCTGTAATGGAATAGAAATCTGAGTCCCATTTTGTTTATCTTCTGATATAAAATCTTTCACAGGCACACAAACATAGTCCAACAATTTACTTGCGTTTTCTTTTCCAAACTTGGTGAAGTTTGAATTTAAAGATATTCCCTCGTTGTTTTTGTCTGATTCTTTATCTTTAGAACCATTATCTATTGTAGTTGGGCTGTACTCAGTTGTAGTCTCCTTTGTGTTATTGGGTTCATTTTCTTTGTCGAGGTCGAGTGGATTTAGAAAAAGATGGTTTCTTTCCTTGCTTTCTAGGGGCGAAAGTTTCTCCTTAATACACGATGCATTGGGGTCGTAAAGGAGACCGGGTTTAGAGGTTACGGAGAACGTTGAGCTTCTTTCTTTGTCAGACTGATTTTCTTTTTCTTTGACGTCATCAAATCCTGAATTCACGTAATACTCCGCCATACTTGTTGGGGGCTATCTCTCTGGAAAGGACAAAACAGAAAAAAACTTTTACCGCTCACGTTTCTTTACTAGTATTAATTGTATCCAAACGAAAAAGCGCCTCGAGCAAAGAACATTCTGTATATTTGTAAAAGACTTACAAGACAGCAGAAATGACATCAAGATAGGTTCAGCCCGAATAGCTTTTTTTTTTTTTGGAAACAAGGTTAACTTAGATGGCACTTGTGTTGGAAGAGGAGAAGGGGGAGAGGGAGGGAAGACGACCTAGACAGAGATAGGAGAGAGGGGGAGAGAGAGAGAGAGAGAGAGAGAGAGAGAGAGAGAGAGAGAGAGAGAGAGGGAGAGAGAGAGAGGGGGGGAGAGAAAATTCTCCAAAATCATATTTCATAAATCCGGTCCTATTCCTTGTCTTTCCTCACTTCACCCACCATTTACACTCTTAAACCCTCACAAAATAATTTCTAAATTGCTCTTGAAGATTCACTTTTTACGTGAACAAAGAAAGCGTCTTTGTTTACATGGCTACCAGGCCATGTAGGCATACGAGGAATAAGCAGGTCAATCTACTGGCGAATAAAGCATTGCTGTCCTGCTGCGATTAATGGATAACAACAGGAAAAGACAGACTTTAAAATTAAGCTCAAAAGCTACACCTCTAGTCCGTGTGGGGAACAATGGAAAGAACAAGTGAATAATAAAGTCAATAATAAGCTAACAGTGCCCGAGTTTGGTCCACGAAGGCCTCCGGGTCTTTCCAGAGTTGAAAAGGTTGTTTTAGCTACGTTACGACTGTGTATTGGACATACCTCACTGACATACTGACAAATCAATGCCTCCCACAGGGACATGAACAGCGTTTTTAACATTATATAATGGCTGTGATGCCGACATTTCGACCAAGTACATCCTTCTAGAATTTCCAGACTTCAGAGAAACACGAAACAAATATTATAAAAGCACTAATTTGACAAACTTGTTCTCCACCGTTGTTCCCACTTGTGTCTTCAATTTTGTAGAGAGCATTGGTCATTTTTTTCAAAATATAGAGAGTATTACTATTTTTTAAAAGTAAAAGATTATTTTTACCTTTGAAATTTTACTATGAATTTTTAGCTTCAGCCATACAGTAAAACAAAGTCCAGCTGAGAACTAACGAGAAAACAATCGCATTGAGTCTCGCGTGTTTTATGAATGACCTTACGCAGAGTGACAAGCGCTGTAAAATGTTCACCAAACTTAAACTGAAAACCGCTGGACGGCTGTTTTTTGTTGTTGTTTTTTTCTCGTAATGCGGTAGTGGGCTTAGGCTATTTATAAATCTTACTTAACCATTGATGACTAAGTATGAGGGATATGCGACTCCCATCCTGAAGTTTTTCTTTATTAAGTACGTGTGACTAGCAGTTTAATTATTAGTGATGGGTTGTTTGTTGTTAGCTGTTGGGTTTTTTCCATAGTTCTTTTCATCATCAAAATGTTTTTCCCATGAAAATTAACCAATTCACTGCCTCAAACGAGACTGTAATGAGCTGTTTGGTGGTATAGTTAAAAGACAGGCCTTGCCTTTATAGTATTAAAACGGTTAAAGTCTACACATATATTCATAAGCACGAATCATAGCTTCCTCTCTCGTTATTTCAGCCATGTTGTCATTGTTAACTCTTAGATTACGGAAGGCTGTGCTTCCATTGTACACATTCAACTTTGTCATCCAAGCTTTCAGCATCACAAACGTTTCTATACTATACACTTCTGTTTAACCTATTTACGTAAAATAAACACGAAAATTAATAGAAATGATCCAAGCAGCAACGATACAGTTTGACTGTTCATTGATTGTAAGATGAGATTGTGGAGGTTTGTTAGGTTTCTGTTATGCCTGTAAACATCTGAGTGATGCCTTGAGCCAGTAGAGCTGACACGGTGTATAATGAAGAATTATTGTGCAATCTAAATAAACAACGTGTGCTTATCTTTGAAGGATTAGCAGTGTCACATTTGGTTCTTTATTCTAAACACGAACTCAACTGCCTAACTCGTCAAAGACACGCATTTTATCTAGTCATTCGACAACGCTTGAAGATGCGCAGTTTTAATGCAGTTTGAAAAAAAGGAAAGATCATTTCGCTATATAATCATATTTTGTTTTCAATTCTGTTTTTCTTTTTCGATTTAAAAAAATTAAAATAAGAAGCCAAGCAGTAACAACATGCCTACCATGAAACATTATCGTCTTTGTTTCTGATTTTTTAATTTTTTTTTGGGATGGTTGTGGCTATGACTCACATTGCCTTTGGTCTTCTGTTGATCGCACATAATAAGTATTATGTATCCTCTATGTCCTTAAAGGGTTAATGTGAAACTGAACAACGGTTGGTTCTCTTTTAAGAGGGAACAATCTCACCTCTAAATTATCATTCTACACACGAACTCAGCTCTTTAAAACTAACAACATACCGGAGGAGTGTCTGCTTCTTTTTCTTTCTTTAAACAAAAAAAGAAATAATAACGCTGTGTGTAAATGTAAACGCAGACTCCAGTATTTGTACCTCAGCCATCCACCTTTTGCCTTTCTTTTTATCTCTCTATAATTACCCTTACCTCTGGGGATTTGTCTAAAACAAATATCTGAATTATTCATTTCCCTTGAGTTTTCAATCTTTAAAAATACAACAATACACAGACGTTGTGTATAAATGTATTTCATTCGTTTTAATCTGAAAATTCATTTTTTGTAAATTTTTATTCAATAACTTTCGCAACAGCTTTCAACTAAAAAATGTGGGTTGTTTTTGTTTTTTTATAAAGAAGTTGATATAGCTTATCAAAACTCTTCGGCCGTCACCCAATCAAAATTCAAAATTAATTCCAACCAAATCTGAAAGTACTTTAGTCAATATTTTTTTTTTTAAACCGAGAGTAACTTCCAAATCGAAATGTGGCTGCCGGAAGGCAAAGGGCTCTACTAAGTAGGAAAAATGATCAAATACGTTGCAGGTTTCAACACTGAACAATAAAGTCCGTGTTTGGTTTGATATTTTAACATAATGCTTGCTATTTTTTTTTTTTAACAGGCAAGCAATGTTTACGATGTTGACCTGTTAAATATAGATCGTTCGACCTAAATTAACTTTTCAAAACTCTGGATTCAAAAGCGTCTAATAAATTCCAAGAAACATCTGGCTATGGGCGTATTTTGAGCTGTCTATTAAGCCAGAGAGTTTCTCATTTTAGGAGATCGTGGTGTTTAAAGCTTACTGACTTCATAAAGCGTGTCCTTTTCATCTGCATCCAATGTGGAATACATCTGTACTAACATGGCTTTCGAAATGAACATCCTGTAGAGGTTACTCCTGGCTGAAAATAATTTTCTTTGTGTGGTGTAGAGGTTAAAGAGTCAAGATACAAATAGCTTATCACTATCCCGGAAGGTAACCTGTTAAATAAAGGTAAGTATAATATATTATATATGCTTTTGTCTTTGTAGATAGATAGATAGATAGATAGATAGATAGATAGATAGATAGATAGATAGATAGATTGACAGATAGATAGATTGAATAGATAGATATATACTATTCTGTAAAAAGATTCATTTTCTTCCATGTGATTTCCATATATCGGGGTGGAATATAATATTTCAAAACAGTTTGAATTTCAAACTTTAAACATACTTTATTTTTAGTTTTAATTGGTTTTACCGGACTTGCAACCCCTCTTAAGTTAGGTTTAAGTGCCGAAGATAAGAAGAGGAGTTACTAAACAGTGACATACAAAGAAAAGAAGGAAGAGAGATTTTAATAAGGACATTAGATGTTTGGAAAAACAAAGAAGCAAACCACACCAGAGCATAAGCCAAGCACACACAAAAAGACTTTGAATCACAACATAAAGCCATTTCACATGATAGGACAGAGCTTTTGTACTTCACAGTTTTTCTTTGAATTTCTGTGTTTTTCTTTGGGTTATTCTCGTCTTCTTTGTGTTTTCATTTCTTTCTTTCTTAGTGCCTTCTGTGGGGCTTTTCTCTTGAACTATTATTAGTAGAAAAGTGAGAAGCAATCTTTGCACAGTTCCTGACAAACTGTACAGATAAAACGAAAGAGCTTTGGAACATGCATAAAAACCGAGAACATGAAAGAGTTTCGAACACAATAACTACCAAAGAACATGAAAGAGTTTTGATACAATCGTAATCTAAGAACATGAGAGAATTCTAGGCTCGTTTATTGAATTCGGCTCTATTTGCTCGGAATGTACAGGCCACAATCTGACAAAAAACCTGGGCAATACGCCACAAATGATATTGTCAGCGTCATTCCACTAACTATTTTGAGGTTTCAGGAAAAACTAGAGAACAAAGAGCGCACCTGAAGTAAAAGTATGAATTAGATACCCGGTACCTGTCTTTTTTCTCATAGAAGTGGACAAAGATTAACAACACAAAAACGAATCCACTCTTGTATTTAAATTATGGCAGCCGGTATTTTCACGACGTGTCGAGGAAAAAAAATATACCCGCGTTTTCACGATTTGTTTTTCTCTTTGGACCAGTAAGTGAACAGCTGAGTCATGCTAGAGGGTATAGACTCTCTGCCCTCTGCTGGCCATGCTTCTCTCTCTCTCTCTCTCTCTCTCTCTCTCTCTCTCTCTCTCTCTCTCTCTCTCTCTCTCTCTCTCTCTCTCTCTCTCTTTATATATATATATATATATATATATATATATATATATATATATATATATATATATATATATATATATATATGTATATAATCTTTTCAAAGTTTTTTTAACAAAGCAGAAACGTTTTTTTAAAGACTGATCAATTAAGAGCAATAAACACATAATTATTTATTTATAAAGTAACACTGGTATCTTGAGGAGATACTGTCAAAATTGTCCAAGACGTCCTCCTACTGTGGAGAAAAGTAGTGGTTTTATTAGACAGATGAGCATCTTGGGCACAGTAATTATAATATTGGAAAGAAAATGTAAGGAGTCTGTATCGGGTATTGTCTTGGACAGGCTGCCAGTAGAGCGTGCTCTCTTGTATCTTGCTGATATACTTTAAATCTCACTCACATGTATGTGACATTGTGAATCAACGACAACGACTTCAGAAAACAGCAAAACAGTGTTAAATTTTAAGACTTAGACTGAGAACAGTGAATAATACAAGTTAGTGATACTAGTAGTAGTGCCTTGATATATTATTGAAATACTTGAGTAAACAACAGTGAAACATGCCTACAATACAAGGTAGTATCTTGGTGAAACACTTTTTAAAAATCACAATGTATTCTAGCAATATTAGATTGTGCTTTGATGAAATGCTGCAAAAATACAGCAAATACATGCTCATAATATTGGGTTGTACATTGATGAAATGCTAGCTTTAAAAACAGTATCGTAATACAAGAAGGTTGTACCTTGCATGAAAATGAAATACTATAAATCTCACTCACATGTGCCTTGTGGGGATCTCCTTTCGCCAAGCATTGAGGGATGGACTATTATTAACATCAAATCGTCCCTTTACCGGTTTACTGTTCCTTTTATCCCTGAATGCCACTTGAATACGATGTATTACATAATATTATTATATTATCTATACTCACACATCGGCGCTTGTTGCTGAACAGCCCTGGTTCTTCTGTTTGAATGTATTCCTCCAAATCTAGCATGGTCCCAAAAGCGTGAAAATGAAATCACAGTGTTGTTATCTCTCTGTCTGTCGGTCCTATGCCGTGTAGGTCTGATCTACGGGCCACTTTAGTTGGAGATATCAATTGTGACACGATACTGGAATCTTGGGAGGTGGGGTGGGGGG